TAGGCAGCAGTCAGCCTGCCAGCAATACTTCACTCATGTTGGAAAAAGCCAGAGTGTCATCCTGTCTACCTGCTTGCTCCCTGGCTGCCTGGAGGATATGAAGGAGGAATGATGAAGTTGGTTATTGGTTTGGGCTTACAGCAGAGGATCATTAACACCTGACTTTTAGCATATTGCTATAACAATAACAGATTAGGACTGCCACAAATGTGACTAAATTGAGTGGAGGGAAGAGGCTGATAATGAAATGAAATGAGCTGTAACTGTGGAACAAAGGGCTTTTTTTTAATGCCTGGAGTATAATGGCTATGGTTTACACAAACAGACTCACAAATAAACACACACACACACACACACTCTCACACACACACACACACAAGTTTAATGAGGCATTCTGACTGAGTGGCTGTAAATTCCTTGTTTATGACACCGAAGCATCACGATTCAACTTGTTCACAAAGGGGCTTTTAATGTTGCTAACACACACATACACAATACACACACATATACAAAGAGCAAAAGGGGACCGTTAGTGTAGCCTAGGGCAAAACGCACACACAAACCAGCTTCCCTAATAGTATCAAGCGTGCTAAAACTGGGACACAAAACGGAGCATTAGAAACACAGTGGAGTCTTTCTCCAGTCTGAGGCTGTATGGAAATGAACTCTGCCCTCAGGCTTATGTGTTTGCATAAAGAAGACACAACATGAGAACCAACCCAAAACTAAATGCCGGCGACTAGAACGTCAGCCAATTAAATAAAACACACTCAACAGCTACAACACTCAGCTGCTGAAGAACATGAACAAGAACAAGAGCTCAGGTATGGTGGAGTAAAAAGGAACACTGTCAGATTCAATCCCATGTTAAAAAACAACAATAGGTGTATTTATCTCTTTCATTCATCGTCTATGTTACCCTCCGCTGCTCCATTATTGTTATAATATGTGTCCTTCACATCTATAATATGTATGCAATACTCACAGTGAAGTCCAAAAAAGCAATCGCTAATGGCCCAGGAGAAACCTGACAATATTCCTTAATTACAAAGCCAGAGGGCATTTGACGACTAGCTGGACCATGTTGAAATTATTTTCTGATTGGGTTAAAATTAACTGGGTGAGGGGAAAAAGCCAATCTAATTTGGATTGAATAGGTCCAAATGAAATTAATATGCAACTTAATGAAACTAATATTGTGAATCAATTTGAACATGAAATTACATTTTCATAGGTAGTCCCAGGTGAAACTGTACGCCAGACTGTTGTGATTTGCACTGAAAAAGAAAAGGGGGTGATACATTGGGTCCATCTGTCAGACGCAGGCTGAAATGACTCTGTGCAGAGTCATTTCAAATGAGTTAATGGGTTATATTATGATGGGCAGGGTTGACTTCAACAACAGGGTCTGCATGTTTAAAACATTTTGTATTGCTTGAAACAAATCCTGTTCTGCTTTTTTTGTTGGGTTCTACTAGATATCGCTGATATTAGCAACATGCTGGGTGACATTATGCTTCATTTGAAAAGGATCTTTTTGAAAAACTGTATATACAGCTATGCTATTGGCTAACATGCTCACAATAATAATGCTGTATAGTGACTGCCTACCATGTATTTCATTAATAGTAAGAAAATACAGGTATTAAAACGTCATATAAAACATGTTCATATTTATTTATTCATGATTTAAGGGTTTTCCTGGACCCCCAGATAATGTGTGAAGGTACTTACCTGCAGCAGGTCTACGCTACTTTTGGTTAGAAAGCAAAGGGATGCATCCCTCATGGTCACAAAAAGACAAACTGACAACTAACGGGAGACATTAAAGGCCACACACATATTCATAGTTTCAAATATTCTCTTCTGACGCAGAAGCAGTTTAAAAATGAACTACAACTGATGTTGTGCGTGTGTCTGTTTGTATGTCAGACAAAGATCTCTCTGTTTCTTCAGCGGACAAATGTCACCAATGATGTCACGACTGCCTCCGAGGAATTTTGAAAACAGATCATCTATAAGCAAAAACAGAGAGAGCACATTCTCTTTCTCTAGTTCCCTTAATACATGCGCACATTAAGATAAGTCAAATGTCAAAAATGTGAAATTAGTGGCACCAATGACTGACGGACATATTCAAAGCACACATTGAGCTTGGACTTTTAGTAATACCAGTGTTAGAGATTTGTCAACATCCCGTTCACCCGGTCAACATGTTTGTGTAATCCCCGCGCACTTAGAGTTCCAGTTAAAAGAGTAACAGCAAAGGGATTTATTTGCAGCCAGCCTGACCCTTTCGAAAAACACCAGTGAGTTCATTTGGATCGGATGCAGACCCCCTGTAAAGAGACTGGCAAGGGACTGACATCTGCACACACACATATAAACCGGTCACCGGACTGGAAGGCGCACAAAAGCACACATAGAAATGGCCAGTACACAAGCACATAAAGCAAAGAAATGTGATGTTTAAATGTAAACGTGATTTGAGGTTAATCCAGACAGTGAGATGAGGTTTAAAAAAACATTCCATAGTTTACTTATTAGATTATATTACACACATGTTTGATGTTTCTATTTATTATGTTTTGCTTTTAATCTTTACTGTCATGTTCCTGTGGTGACACTGTCGATGTCCCTGATGTGGGACGAATGAGGGATATCTGATTCTTAATCAACAACAATTATCAAAATGACACACTGAGGATGTATCAGGGCCAGTGTGCGGCATCTGATGTAGCTATTTATAAATACAACAATAAACTATGTGGCACTGGAGGGGGCAGTGAATACCATTTGGCAGGGTCATCCTATACTAGGTACAGTAGTACTAAAATGTTTTTTGTTGGTTCACAAAGCTTCCAAGTTTCATTTTAAACACGCCACATTTGCTGCTGCTCAAAAGTGCAAGTTTCTCTGACAAATGACGGCTGATACAGTTGGATAACAGCTGTTCAAGGAGTTTAAGGTTTAGTGTAATCTAAGAAGAGATGAGATGTACAGACCAGGGTTTCCGCTAGGATTTTTTCTCGCCGGTCAAATGTCCGGGCAGAATTTATTTTACCGGACAAATTTGAAACTTACCGTCATGTTTCACTAATAATAAGAAGAGTTGTGTTGCAGAGTTTCCGTTAGCAGGTCATTACCGGACTATGAGCAGATATGCTGATGTTTAAAACATTTTTATATTTTTATATTTTATATTTTATATAGTTTATAATCGTAACAGATCGAAAAATTCAGATTCATTTTCCAATAAATGATTCCACAAACAACAAACAACATAATTATTACATTCAAACAAACTACTTGTAGTAGATGAAGTACATTATTCAAAAGTTTACATCAACTTTGAATAATAACACGGGAGAAACGGATCCTCTCTTTTCCCTCTCCCTCCCTCTCTCCTGACAGCCCGTCAGTTTCTCATGCAGCTCGCTAAACAGTGGGCGGGGCTTCAGGTGATCATGCAGAGCTGCGTGTCTCTGTCAGACTCAGCAGCTGATCTGATCTCTCTCTCGTGTCCGGTTATACTTCACTCTCGTTTATGTCCATATCGATCAGATCTCCTGATCGTCCTTTATAGAGAGCACCGATCAAACTATTAAGAGTGAATATCGGCCGATAATGACCGGCGGCCGATCTATCGGAGCCTCCCTAATTATTACCAGACATTTTGACCGGCAGGTTTTGAATTTACCGGTTTTTAATAAATGTTACCAGCTAAAAACCGGTAATTACCGGCTAACGGAAACCCTGGTACAGACCACAAACATCTAGGGCAGTAGGCTCTTTCGGAAACCACACAGTGGTTTTGAGGCTGGGAGTATCATGAGTTTAGAAGAAAATCTCCACACAATGTTCTTATGAATGAAAGTTAGACAAAAGTATAATTTGGGGAGTAGATCTCTGCTTATGGTGGACTTGAATGTTTGTTTTTAATTCATAATGTTCCCGATATAACAAACAATTTGAATGAATAACATTTATTGTTACCATGTCTTGAATTTAAGAGATGGTGTTTAGAAAAACTAAAACTTGTTTACTTGACAGCTTGTTTAAAAGCTTGGGAACAAAACATTATGTATTTAAACCAAGAAAGCTATAGCTGTAGTCTCCACTAGCGTGTCTACAAGTTATTTACTTTGCTTAGTGAGTCATACCATGAGTGTACCAACATTGAAGAAGCACAGGGGGGTGATTGATGGATTATCATCAATGGAGGGGCCGGGCACAGTGGAATTAGCCGTCGTAACCTTTTTAACTAGCGCTCTGAGAATACAGCACGTGGGTTAGTAGAGACACACAGATCTGTAAACAACATGAAAATAGCCCATAAAAATGTGAGCCTACATGTGGGTTATGGTGTGTGTGCTGGAGCATCCACACATATTAAACTGGTAAAGTCTTTCTACCTATTTATCTATAGTATTTAACGAGAATATGTACATTTATTTATCTATCTAGACGATAAAATCTTATTTCCTTCCTTCATCACTTTTTATGGTAAACTATAAACATTGTAGACACGACAGAAATGTTTTTAAATAAACTGACAGGGGCCTAACAGGCAAAACACCAAAGAATTGTAACAAAAGAATACATAACATCACAGCTTTGATAGAAAAAGGGGACGAAGGAAAGAGGTGTATTCATGTACCGGTAGCTGTGTGTTTTCTTTCCTTCTGTCATGATATAAGTGAAAGGGAAGCAGAGACAAAACACTTGTAACCTGTTGGGTTTCCATTACATATACATTTGAATAACAAACTGCACTATGAGCACATGCACATAAAAACACCGTACTACACAATCGTATCCCAGAGAAGCCATGTGAAATTGATAAACATTAGAAGCACAGAGGGGCTCTGTTTAAGTGGCTGTGCAAAGAGAGAGAGAGCACGGACACCATAAAGCGGAATGGCAGGGAAGCAGTGAAATTGAATTCACACTTAAAGCGGAATATCTTATGGGTGGTGTTCTCCGTGTGTGTGTCCTACCCTGTGTTAATGGAGATGATCTCGATGAGAGGGTTCTTCCTGATCTTGGGCAGGTCCAGTCTTGCTCCACCGAGCCTCCGGCCTCCATCTTTCTTCTGACCCAGCAGACGAACTGAGTGACCTGAAAACGACAAACATCCCTTTAATGCATATCCTATTGAGAATAGTTTACTTCCGTTGTTACCTTTTCTCTTAAGTTTACGTGTTGTACACGTGACAGCAGGGCCTATGTGTGAAGTGGTGCCCAGATGTAAGCATATGCATATTACAATTACTTCAAGTTAAATATAATTTAGTTGTCCTGTTTAAATTGAAAAAACGGATTATCTTTGCTTGAAAGAACCAACAGCTGGAGCTGATTATTCACAGTGTTTGTGAGTAAACAATTAAGGAAAATTGAGATAACGGTAAAAAGGACTGTATGGATGGTCACATCACTTCAATTTTGAAAGTTCAACTAGCCAAAAAAAGCCTTTGTTAGACTTGTCTCATCCAATCAAAATAGGGCAGAATACTATGTCAGAGCAGACACAATTTCATAAAGTAATGGTGAATAGAGACATAAATGAAAAGGCTTGGAGGTGCATTAAATGGCATAAAAGGCAAACCCCTGGTATCAGGTGAACATTCATTCAGTTAAGGGGGAAGACGAAAGCACAAAGTGGGAAGTAAGGAAAGAACATGATATTTCTTTCTGAAGGAAACTCCACTGATACTACCAAGATATTTCATACATGAGGAACTAATGCAGGCCGACAGGAACAAGGGGATATAAAATAAAAGAGGCCTATTTCACTGAGATCTTTTGTCAACTGCATCTTGTACAACTCCAAATTTAGTAGCGTATTACTCAGTAGATAGCAAATGAAAACCGATAGCAGTCAAATAGCTAATAGCTAGTGATGTCCAGCCGTTGAGATGCAGTAATCTCTCCTCTCTAACCATCTAATAGAATACCAGCTAGAGGGTGTGCGAGATGGAGGCGTTGAGGGATGGAATTGTCTTCCTGTTTTCATCCGCTTTACATGGGTCTCCTGGGAGGGTGGGCTCAGGGCAGGAAGCGTAGCTATCAATTGGTAGATAAAAATGACAATCTGCCCCAGAGGAGGACAAAGAGCCAATCGGTGAGGCGTGACTGGTCGTAATATCCCAGTACAAGCAAGGAAATTAGAAAACTTCCCTCATGGAATACAGCTGGGACTTAACGCGTGTTCGGCCCGGCTCTCTTATAGCTAGCTATCTGTGTCTCCATCTCTGGTCCTTTAAACACGGATTTAAAATTCATGAGAGCTCTTTTATTGTTTGCTCTATAACCGTTGCTCCATCTGTTGACTGATCGATCAGTTCATCTATTCATTAATACTTCCCTTCAAATCTAGGCTTCACATGTCCGCCTTCTCTTTAGCTGCTGCTGATAACATTTTATCAGAAGTATTTTTCAATAAATGTATTATGTGGGAGAGAAGTAAGTTAAGAAATGATTTCATTTTCATGTAATTGTTTATTTAGCAGGGACAATGCACATTAATGAACACTTAAAACAAGGATGATGGCTAAAGGATGACTTTTTTGAGGAACATTTACTTCTTGATTGTAAGCCCAGAGTATTTTAACTGCATTACCTTTTAATAGCAATACAAATGTTTGAAACTTTATTATGCTCTATCCAAATAAAAGTGAAAACACTGAACAAGATGAGAATCATACCCATGTGCTGTGAAAAACTACACAATTGTGCAATCTAACAAGTAATGTACCAATCACACAACTTATTCTAAGTAGCCACAAATTGGCAGGCTATTACAATGGGAACCTAACCATAATGGAATGCATGCTCACGCTGAAAAATACATTTTGAAGATATGCAACTTTACTGACTGGAAAAAGGCTCGACAGTAATGTATCTTTAGCTCAGGCCTGGGAAGTTTTGGTTTCATTCTGATACAACAATTATTTCTAATGATTAAGGCCGAGGGAGAATAAAGTTGTCGGTATATAGCGAAACATAGTCCTTTCAGGAATAAGCAATTACCATTAGGGTGTTACATTTCCCTTGGAAAGAACTTGGAATTTGTCATTACTTGTATATTCATTTTGTATGCCTCTAAAACTGCACAGGACCCCTGCCTGCCATGCATGACTCAAGAAATAATAATAATAATAATAATAATATATTGTATTTCTATAGCGCTTTTTTTGAACCCAAAGACGCTTTACATTTGGGAGGGAGGGTAGACAAACAAAACAAAAACAAAGCCAAAAAGAAACAAAACAAAACAGAAAAGCAGTCAGGAGGAAGTTGATTGAGAGGGGGGGAATAATAAATAATCTCAATACCAGCATGGAATCACTCTAGTAGTGAACCCAAAGCCAAATTCAATGTCAGGGCCTAGGGGACCATGAATGGGAAGCAAGAGATAAAATAGCTAACTTGAGTTGCTGAATAAAACTGGAGAATGCTGTCCTATTTTGTCATCTCAATTACAGAGTTTAGAGAGGCCAACTGCTGTGAGGGGCAACCCTGCATACACACAGAAAGACACATCACTATACCACATGTTCTAGTTACTGACTACCCTCCTCCTTTCCTTCCTGTTTTTCCCAATCTCTCTTTCCTTTGTTCTTTTCTATCCTTCATAAATACAAACGGACATAAATCCTTCTATCCTAACGGCCCATAATAACATGCTGGAGGAAAGGCAAGGATAGATGGAGGGAAAGGGAGATGGATGGACGGTTGGATGATGATAGAAAAAAACAAAACAGATGAGGGATGTGCGGGATAGCCAGATGGATGGTTGGATCAGAGGTAGGGCGCTAAAAGACTGACCCGTTGACCTGTGTCTGATGTCTCATAAGTGGCAGGTCTTGCTGTGCTCCCTTGTTTGATTGTATAGCAGCAGTCAGAAACGGGGGGGGGTGGGGGCACATAGGAAAGAGGGGACAGAGGTGGAGGATGAGGAGGAGGACACAAGGGGTGTAATGATGCTCATTTATCCCCTCTATAGAACAGGTAATTAGATATGTATAACTGTCCTTGAAAAGGCGGTTTAGGTTAATGCCGGATGTCAGTTGGAAATCAAAAATCAAATGAATTCATAACAAATATACGCAGTGTTCTTATGCAAACATTTCAAAAGAATATTTCCTTTAAAAATATATATCACACACGGGGCTTTGAAGGTTGACAATGACAAGCTCCTTCACAGGGCTTTGTTTTGTCGGTTCTCAACAAGAGGTCACTGAGCATTTAAAGACTATGTTCAACCTGCAGATGACTTAAAAATATATGTGAATGCATCTGCTTTTCAAATGCACTTCATTTCCTCTTCCCTCTGTCTAACTGTCTCTTTCTATTCAGCCGTGTGTTTATTCTCACACTTTATTTGTTCAACATTGATACATGTAAACAGTTTGTTTATCCTGGTGAAATAAGGATCATGAGGTTATATGGGTGCCTTATATCCTCTGAACTGGAGCTAAGTAGATACATTAGCCTGTGTAACCTCTTCTGCCCCCTCGTTCTATGTCACGCATGCACACACTGAATCTAAACCCTTTCTAAAAGATAAACTAATATGAGGTGAAATTGTATCATGCAACGTTATCATCTCAGTGAGAAAAGATCAATATTAGGCCAATAAAGACACAAAGACATCAACATGGCACTATAAAAAAAGAAGAACCGCGGTTATTTATTAATGGTGCAAAGATCAGATTTCAGTGGAAATCTGTGAAGAGTGAAAACATAAATAAAACATATTTTCTAGCCTTTGTATGGGTTTCTGTATACAATCATTTTCTTGATTAAAAATGTAAACATTCGTCCCCTGAATTTCCAACTTTATATAGCCAATTATTCATGTTATCTTGGTACAGTAGGTGAGCATCACTAATAATAATAATAATAATAATACATTACATTTATAAAGCTCTTTTCCTGGTGCTCAAAGCGCTTAGACATTACATTTGGCTAGGTCCCCTTGCAAAAGTGTGCATCCATGGGGCAATTAATGATTTTTTATAGATCTTCTATAGGGCTTGAAAAACAAGAAAAGGTAAAAGATGTGTTTGTTGTTAGCAAGTATACACATCTGGCAAAGCTAGCAGCCACAGTAACATTACCAACTGAATCCCTGACGCTGCACAGTGCCAGCCACCACACACTGGGCAGTAGTTGTAATGTTGCATGACTGAGTAAATGTTAAGTACTGTGAGCATGCGTGAGCAACCTAACTTGAGATAAGTTAAGGATAAAAAGCCCTGCCATTTATGTTTGGTAGATGCACTACGATTAAATGCAGTTTTACAGTAGTGAAGAATGCTTATGGAGTGACAGTTGTAAAGTTCCCTTTGAGCCGCGATCCAAACTGAATACATAGTCTCACCTCAAGAAACAAGCTCGTAAATGTACACCAGTACTCCTGTCATGTGGAAAACAGACCTGCAAGCAATTTTGGTGAAGCGAAAAAGTGTGTCTATTAGCAGTTCATTGAAGTAAGTATTTTAGTAGCCATTACCAAAGGCAAATCCCCTAGCTTAAAGCTTTATGCCCAGGCCTCCGAGATGGAATAACAGCTCTCAGTTTATACGAGGTCATAAAGAACTGTAATGATACCGGGGAAATTAGTTTCTATGAAGGGGGCTAAGGAGGGAGCAAAGAGAAAGGAAGGAGTGCAGAAGGGATGGAACAGGGCAGAGAGAAAGCAGAGGGAGGAGGAAGAAAGGAAGGAGATCAGAAGATGCTGAGGAACAGGAAAGGGAGGGGAAAAGAGGAAAAAGGAAAGAACAGGAAAATCACTGAGAAGAAAGAGAGACTGAGAGTCACAGTGTACATGTGTGAATGTGAGTGTGTGTGAGTCTGTGTGTACTGTAGATGATTTAGGGTGGATGACACATTGTAAAATTAAGCCTCAGTTCAGCTGTCCTTCATTAGAGGGAAGCCTGCAGTGCAAACTAGTAAGTCATACACACACACATACACACACACAGGCTCGCTCAGAGTAAACTCAATCTGTTCTTTATTAGAGAACAGCTGGGGGTGTGTGACAGCTTGACTGGACACTCTCACACTGTAAACTCAGCCTGACCTTCATTAAACAGTTAGGTGCCGTGGTTCACTAACAGTTTAAATGGATGACCTAATCACTGCCATGTGAGTCTGTCTTTTAAGACCGAGAAGACAGCTTAACTAGCTACTCAGACAGAGAGATCTGAAAGCAACACTGATGACTTCTCTTTTAAAACCACAATGTCAATCCTAACACTGTGTCGAGAAATGGAGTCAACAATTAGTTTGAAATGACTTTGTTTCATGAAATGTACCATTGAGATCAGCTGCTCTGGAATATCTAATGTTGTCACCAAAAGCATACCCCTGCAGATCTTTGAACAATACTGAATCATCTAATAACACTCTAGCTCAGTGGTTCCCAACCTGGGGGGGGCGCCAGGCCTCAGATAATTTGAGGCCAAATATCATATTTACATGTAATTGTAACGCAATACATGATTGTCACTAAAGGCCTTGTCTCTACATTACAATAAAATATAAAAAATAATTGATTAATTAATTTGGATAACAATTCAAGTTAGTAGCTATTATAGGCATAAAAAGACAGAAATGTATAATTATTTCTTTGATATAAATGTTTCTTCTGCCCATAAAGTGTCCAAACCAGGCTTTTCTGGATAAGCGCATTTTTAAAACATAGTCATTGTCCATGCCGGTTTCAGTTGGATTATTTGTCACAGTTGCTCCGATCAGATCGATCTCCTCCATTTTGTAGATTATTTACGACTTTTGAATCCACATAAATTGAATAAATTGTGTGTGTGTGTGGGGGGGGGGCGCAACTTCCAACAGGAGTCAGTTGGGGGGGCTCTTGGGAAAAAAGGTTGGGAACCCCTGCTCTAGTTTATACTTTGTTGATAGTAATTGCTCAGAATCAAATGTCTTCAAATGTTAATTGTGAGAAGGAAATATTTCCAATTCCGACAATGAAGGGACTTTCGTTCATTAGCTGATCAATGCATTTCTGCTTATTCCCTCAAACAATGAGTGCTTCTTTGTGTATGTGCATGTGTGTTGAAATACCTTTAATTGCCTCGTCCACTACTTCCACCACACGATCAATCTGTTGGACCTGAAGCACAGACAGACACACATAGGAAAGGTTTATTGATGCCGACAAACCGAGTCCACACAGCCGAACAAAGGGCGGATATTGAAAACACACAAACAATCAAGGTGGGCATGTAAATATACACAAAAAGCAATATGCAGTATGCACACAGAGAAATGAGTGAAAACAAAAACAAACAGTTTTCTCCAGCCAGGATTAAGTGATATAGATTTCCTTAATGTCACATGTGTCTATGTAGCTGCAACAGCAATCATATTATGTATTGACAGAAACACAGTCTAGCAGCAGGATTTCATTGATGAGAACCAAGAAGCAGGAACAGGAAGATGTAGAGAGGGTGGCATATACAGTTGCAAGAAAAAGTATGTGAACCCTTTGGAATTACCTGGATTTCTGCATAAGTTGGTCATAAAATGTGTTCTGATCTTCATCTAAGTCACAACAATAGACAAACACAGTCTGCTTAAACTAATACCACACAAACAATTATATGTTTTCATGTTTTTATTGAACACACCATGTAAACATTCACAGTGCAGGGTGGAAAAAGTATGTGAACCCCTAGGCTAAAGACTTCTTCAAGAGCTAATTGGAGTCAGGAGTCAGCCAACCTGGAGTCCAATCAATGAGATGAGATTGGAGGTGTTGGTTAAAGCTGCCCTATAACAAATACACACCAGTTTTGAATTTGCTATTCTTAAGAAGCATTGCCAGATGTGAACCATGCCTCGCACAAAAGAGCTCTCAGAAGACCTACGATTAAGAATTGTTGACTTGCATAAAGCTGGAAAGGGTTACAAAAGTATCTCTAAAAGCCTTGATGTTCATCAGTCCACGGTAAGACAAGTTGTCTATAAATGGAGAAAGTTCAGCACTGTTGCTACTCTCCCTAGGAGTGGCCGTCCTGTAAAGATGACTGCAAGAGCACAGCGCAGAATGCTCAATGAGGTGAAGAAGAATCCTAGAGTGTCAGCTAGAGACTTAAAGAAATCTCTGGCACATGCTAACATCTCTGTTGACGAATCTACGATACGTAAAACACTGAACAAGAATGGAGTTCATGGGAGGACACCACGGAGGAAGCCACTGCTGTCCAGAAAAAACATTGCTGCACGTTTGAAGTTTGCAAAAGAGCACCTGGATGTTCCACAGCACTACTGGCAACATATTCTGTGGACAAATGAGTTGTTTGGAAGGAACACACAATGCTATGTGTGGAGAATCCAAAGGGTTCACATACTTTTTATTGCAACTGTATACAGTTATCCTGATATGGTAAGACAATGACTAAAACTGAATCATGTTATGATCAATCAACAGTGTTTTTTTCACTCTTTGCGATCCATGCAGAACATTCTACAGCTATGTTGTAAAGAAATTAGGCAAGAAGAGACTATTAGGTATTTTTATATTCCATTGAGAACAGCACTTATTTTACAAATCTGCCATCCTTCTACTAATAATCTGGAGAGGAAAGGGTGGGTAGTGAGCCAGAGGAGGTTGGAGCGAGGGATATGTAAGTAGTAGAGAAACTAATTTCCCTGCTATTATTTCTCCTTTTATTCCAACCAGCATGCCTTCTACCTCTAATTCGCTCACTTTCTCTATCCTTAGAGGTCCAGGCTCTGGCCCTTGGCAACTCCTCTCAATGTCTCCAGGCCCATTACCCAGAATAACTCTTCTTTCAAAACACACTCACAGATGCACACTGTGCCTTGTAGGCAGTCGTTGTATGCACACTGAGATAAAAACCTATTTTCTTCTAATGGCCAGGCAATCTGGGTTCATTCAGAGCAGCAGCAGGTGTCCCTGCTCACAGCAGGGTTTGGGTATTGTTCACATTTTAGCGATTAATTCAGATCTCACTTTTCAATTATGGTTCTTAGTGAATGCTGCTTTATGCACCTGGAATTGTGTTTGAATAAGAATAAATATGTGTTGGGAAAAGTACTATTTTCAGTAGATCTAGGCTTTCATAGAAAGTGTTCTGTTAAAAGTGCCAAGATTATTATTTTAGGTAAGAAGTAAAGATATATATATATATATAAACTATACTGCCATTTGGAAATGGGATGTAAAAGTACCATTAGGTCCTTTCTTCTTTCCGCCAAGCATACACTCACACATTACCAAAGGCTATCACAATGCTAAGAGCGAGCATCTGTAGTAACTGAGCTATTATAAGTAAACTAATATTATCCTTTACATTACTAGCTTATGGATAAAGCTAAGTAAAAATAAGAAAAACATTAAGGCAACACATCTATCGTAGTGAGATGTCAACTTGTGTGGCATGATACACTCAGAGTAAACAATGAAAAATGAATATAATTTGTAAGTTATAGGAAAAAGATAAAAGGAACACAAACTGGGGTCACTTATTCATAGGTACAAAATACATGGTAAAACGACTGATGTGTGTATTTCTCAGGGTTACAACATTGCTTACACACCGACATACTCTGATTACCTAACATGCAGAGTGTGCGTCTTGTGTGTGTTTGTGTCTGTATCTCAGATACAGGATGTGACATGTCCAGTTCAGAGTCACGAAACACTGTAGTCTTGCGTGACTGACTGTGTACCTTACACAATACACGGTCATCCTTCACAGCAACTTCAGACAGGAACACGCAGGACAAATACACACACAGGTCAATTAAACCCGAATGAGTTCAACAGGAAGCACTTTTATTTAACTACACTACACCCCTTATCTAGCCGTTAGTGCAATCACTATATACAAATTCTACGACTGGTGATTTGCATTCTGATTTGCATAAGTCACCAACTGTCACAGTCATTGTGTGGCTGATTGTAACTACCATGGATACACAAGGGGAGCGGGTGCATACTCCTATACCTCCGTCTGTGTCTGTTAGCATGTGTGCCTGTTCATGCATGTGTCCAGCCATGTGTGTGTGTGTGTGTTTCAATGCATAATCCAATCCACTCATGACAATGAAAGGACTGACAGTGGTAAACTTTCCAGATGTTTTTGCCTCACCCTGAAGGCTATTACATAGTCTGTTTATCTGAATGTCATTATATTATACATACATGACACTGGATTTGAATGTAATTATGTTACACAGTGGCATGTTTACTTCAATGGAATAACATTATTTATAGTAGAAGATATTTAACGTGACATTTGAGAGACCCATCTACCCCCCTCCCCCCACCCATTATGTTTAAGAGCAATCAACTGATATATTGGACCGTTTGATTTATCGTCATTTTCATCAGGGCAGTTTGTATTTTATGAAGAAAATATGTGAAATTAAGATCAAGGTTTTTTCTGCAGTGATTTATAAGGCACAGCTTGGAGCTTTAAGAGGATAGAGTGAAAAGAAACAATGAATCCATATGTGTTCTTAATTGACCAACTGTTTGCTTTCTTTGTCATGCAGGATATGTCTTTGGTGTCTTCTTAAAATGTTAATGTGTGGCCAGAATATGTTTGTAAAACCCATTGTAGAACTACAAGGCACATTTTAACCACTTCATATGTTTTTTTTACTGAAAGATAGCAATACAAACTTTACTTTCGCCCATAGCAAAATATTAGATGTGAAACTCAAGATCATTTAGCAGGATTAGCAGATAGAAAAAACAACTCTTTATTCAACAAACATCATCAGTCAATTATTTAAAGAGGAAAACGAATTTAACTTTTAAATAGAAATAACCTTGACACATCCTTTCACTTTCCTCCTGTGATTACTGAGGTGAAACGGCAATCGAAAATGAGGTGTTAAACTTTGTCCTATCACAATTTGCCAAACAACTTATGTATACCTGCACCACAGTGTAATGAGTGGGACTGCAATATCATAGGGAGAGCAATATAACATAACCAACAGCTGTAACCACTCATTCGCTGTCTTTATAACTTTGTTCCCATGAATCATTCAGTTAAAGGATTTGCTACAAAGAATTGTTGGAGTCTAAGAATATAAGGATCAACAGGTTGAAGGAGGGTGTGCTGTCATTTATTTTGTCTTACATTTGTCCTCTGGCACTCTGTCCTCAAGTGACACTTTCTTACTTTAAACTAAGAAAGTAAGTGTACCTCTATCTCTCATACCTTTCTTTATCCTTCCATCATAAATCCTTCTTTCTTTTCTACTTCCCATCATGTTCATTCTGGTACTTGTAGTTGTGTCTCTTGGGGGGGGCTATTGATCAAACAAGCGGCAGGAAGGCCAGAATTGAAAGACACAGCAGGGTGGCAGCCAGGTGAATGACAGGTCAAACCATGTGGTGTGTGTGTGTGTGTGTGTGCGGGCGTGCGTGTACTCCTCAAAGGTTGTCCATTAGACACAAATAGGGAAGAACAAAGGCCACACAAACAGACATACGGTTTATGCTGCATAGCCACATTTCTCAGATGATTTCTTTCATACAAGTGAATCAAAGCCCTACACAAACACATATACATACCCCGATGATGCTGAGTCCTTTTAGGTAGTCCATCCGTGGCTGAGCCTGGGGAACACAACCTGCTACTACCACCTTCTTCTGCTGTTCCTGGGCTTTTCTGTATAAACAAAGGCAGAGAAAAACATAGAAAAGGAGATCAATATTAGTAGGTAACTTTACATTTGTGCACAAAAAGAAAGCGACATTTCCAGCAAAATGTTTTTGATTTACACAAGTAAAAAATGATATGATAGTGTAAGAAAAGACAGCAAGTACATGACAAGCACAATGCTTCCTTTAAAGGATTCCCCTTGCAACCAAGTGGGTGAATGTAAATCAGGAACTTCACTATAACGTCTCTAAAGTGACATATCCCATTTGCAGTATTCCACTTCACTAAAGCAGATACACATAAAAAGGTACTCCAATTTTGATAAACCATTAATACAGTTATAATTGCTTGATGGGGCTGAAAAGCATGCGCGTACAAACACACAGTGAATGAGAGCGCACGTGTGAATCGTGTTTCAAATATAAAAACACCTAAGAAGCATCATCAATCAGGAAAGAAAGGCTGGATTTGCTGTATTAAGAGGAAATGAGGCAGAAAACACTTAAGAGCATTGTTGACAGTTTCTCAAGGCACAGGGCCGGTATAGTCTACGGTTGCACATGGAGAAGCAGAAACTTCTGTCAGTAACGGTCTGTGTGACAAAGGAACACCATGTTAAACACTTGTGGACGTGTTCTACTTCAGTGAAAACCGTTTTGGTTTCCCTGGTGGTATGTTAGCTATTCACTCCTGAAATGTCCATGAGGAGAATCACCTCAGGTCATTCCTATAGTGCAAATTGGGTTTCATGTCCAACACATCAAACTGAGGTATGGCAGGATTTTGTTTCTAGTTTAAGATGAAAACTATTCATTATGTTATGCACAATTGAGATTGCTTGTGTGTATAAGTGGTTGTCTTTCACTTCACAATTATTAATAAACAGTAGATTTGATTAACTCTAGAATTGAATCCATTCTATGTATTGTGTTTTGCATTAATGTGAGAAAGGCTAATTTGACTGGCAACATGTTTTTTTGAATGGACATAGTATAACAAGTAGGGAGTCATCTTTACCATCTTCTAGGGCAGGGGTGAGGAACCTTTTTCCTCTCAAGGGCCATTTCAATGTTTTCAACATCCTCCGAGGGCCGTACAAATGATTGACCTCTGCTTAAAAATACTAAAATCACAGCCCATTCATTTCACCTTTCTTTCATGCTGTGCAAAGAAAAAGCAACCTCTTAATCCAGATATCTCACCATGACTCGCACATGCATTCACGTGCACGGTTGTGGCATGATCACCAAAACAGAAAGATATGGACACAAGATGTGTGCATATGTATTTAGTTTCCTATTCATGTGGACATGAAGATTTTTGCACTTTGAGAGCAACATTAAGAGATCTATGGATATATTTCTCAACACCCAGATGAAACAGAACTGTAAGCAGATTTATTTTTCTTTATGAATATTTTACAAATCACTCAAACTGTATTCTTGTTTATTAATAACAACTTTTTTTTACTGTCATATAGTATTTTATACCCGTTTACTTTATTCTCTTATTTTGTTATAACTATAATGATCATATAAAGATGTGCCTTTACCTCACTGGTTGGAGAAAAAGCTTCTTATATTCGTTAGCATAGCTAGCTAACCAGATGCTAATAACAACAAAGTTATTGACTGTATGATCAGAATGACAGATGAACAGATCGCCACTGGGCTTTCAACTAAAGACGCAGACACGCAGAAACTGCGGCATGTGTACGGCTCCTTATCGGTACTGCAATTTTTGGAAGTGCAGGAGTGGCGTTCTGGTGCTCTCCGTCAGAACTGCACTCCTGTCAGACGAGACATATACCACGTGATGACACGTTAGGCTTGTGTTGTGTTCAAGGATCCCGACCTTGGACAGGAAAAACAGGCACTCGCTTTGTTTAATTTTTTTGCGGTCTAGATTTCTTTAATTGTTTTCTTTTTTGCGTGTGTTTATAAATTACCTCGCGGGCCGTATACGAATGAAGACAGTTCAGCCAGGGAGAGTAGTTTATGAAAGAGCTGTATGTTAAAGAGTGCAGCCATACATGTTAATAGAAAGTTAATTTCAGCCAATATAGGGTTGAGCAAAAAGGCCAATGTTAACACAGAACACACTCCTGGCTACGTAATCTCCTTGGAGCCAGAGACAAATTATATGTACCTTTATCTAAGATCTGCTAGAACTGTAATTGATACATAATGTTTGATCGTAGTGCAATGGATTATATGCATACGTGTGCATGTGGAAGGCTGAGAGAGAAAAAAGTACTGTGATAAGTGTGATGGGAAAACAGAGCAGCCCTTGTCTGATGAAACATTCTGTGAAAACATGATAGAGACAGCAGATGAAAAGAATAACATTGTTTTTGTCAGACAAAATAGGTCACCATCACTTCTGATGACAAACAACATAAGCAAGCCTAAACTGGGGATTTATAACACAACGCTCAGTGTCAAACATTCATTAACAGTTATGCACGGCGTGAAGTTTTCATTGGCAAAAGAGTTAACACTGATGAGCTGTTTTATAATGAATTATATTAGGAATAAAAGTAGCACTAAAAATCCCATTGTCAAGATGATTTGAATTAAAAAGGGCTGGAGCAATAAAATAAATCAAATAGTGAAGCAAACCATAATGAGGAGTGTGAGTGTGTGAGTGTGTGTGAGTGTGTGTGTGTGTGTGTGTGTGTGTGTGTGTGTGTGTGTGTGTGTGTGTGTGTGTGTGTGTGTGTGGTGTGTGTGTGTGTGTGTGTGTGTGTGTGTGTGTGGTGTGTGTGTGTGTGTGTGTGTGTGTGTGTGTGTGTGTGTGTGTGTTTGCCTGTGTGCATGTGGATCTATGTGAGTCTGTATGTCACCTCCAGTTAGTGGCAGTGAGATTTGAGACACTCGGTCTGTCTGACAAAAGCTTTTGGAGGAGCTGCCCAGACTCCGCCATGAATCTTTAATAATGAAGCCTCCTGACAGCTGGAGCAGGAGAGAAAGGGAGAGATGGAAGAGGGGGGGGCTGTGAGGGAGGGAGGAATCGTGGGAGGAGGACAGAGGAGGAGCAGTGAAACTGGATGCAAACTGTCAGTTGTGTTTTAATTCAGACTATGTTTGTATTCTCCAGAAAAACAAAGAGATAGTGACGGTGGAGACGGTGGAGGAGGTGTGTGAAAGAGCAGAGTGAGGGGAGAGAGAAAAGGAAAGTAGACAACTCACATTTTAATGGATGAATGAAGGCAGAAATATAGTGTTTGTTTAATGATTGTGTTGATTATTCAGAGCCATTTATATTATTCAGGGTTATTTTAGTGAATTGTCTCATCTTTACTGCTCACTCTAACCCTCTCTTGGCAAACATGTGTTGAGAAGGTAACCACAAATCACTTAAGAAAAAAGAAGACGCCTGTTGGATATGATCCCTCACTGCATACTAAACAGTTTTAACACCACATTCAGAGGCACTTGTTCATCCTCAGCTATGCAATGTTTAATTGCACATTCACTGGTTTTACCCATTGACTTTTTACAACAAACAAATGATATTCATGCCAACCTGACTCTTTTTCTGGTGTTTAGAGATACTTACATACAGACAGAGGCGGGTAGGAATGTGAAAGCATCATATGATGATACTAGTAAATAATCAAAAGTGGATAAAGATGTAAACTTTTAAAACTGGGTAAAACAAGAATCAGACAAAAAGAGGGATAATGCCTTCTTAGAGTAGCGTATCTTCCACACACTTTTACACATGAAGGACTCACACTGGCAGCACTGCACACGCAGTAGGGGTGTGTCTGCATAATTCACACCGTCTCTTGCCAAACAGCGCCAAACGCTCCTTTAATGCGCTCCTCGCTCCCCGCCCACAGACTCAGAGCCGGAGCTGACACAGCGAGTAAGCAGACAGCGCCTGAGCCGTCGCCTCGGCGCCCCAGGGGGGAACAGGCCAATCACGTCGCACACAGTTTGTGGATGGGATGAGATGGAATGGGATTATGCGATGCCGTTGCCGTGGCGATACTTTTGAGCCGATTGAGCGCACGATGCCAGTGACACCGGAACCAGAGCAGATGCCCCCGAGATCTGAGGACGAGGTGTGTGTGTGTGTGTGTGTGTGTGGGTGTGTGTGTGTGTGTGTGTGTGTGTGTGTGTGTGTGTGTGTGTGTGTGTGTGTGTGTGTGTGTGTGTGTGTGTGTGTGTGTGTGTGTGCGTGCGTGCGTGCGTGCGTGCGTGCGTGTGTGTGTGCATGCGTGAATTTCCTTGGCTTCCTTGGCACCTCGACCTAAATCTCTGCAGCCGCCTGTCAACTCGGTGTTACTGCCCTCCATAGCCTCAAGACCACACACACGCACCCACACATAGGGTCCGAACACCCACATGCTCCGAACATACTGTACATACACATACCAAGGGTTAGAGAGGCAAAAGCAAGCAGAGGTCCATACATACATGCATGACCTCTGTGCTGTGTATGTATAGTAGGGAGAAGTGCTGTACATACTGGTTTTTAACAGCTGAGTGGACACAGTGAATCAGTCAAACTAGAGCGGACTAAATGTCCAACTGAATTGATCAGGTTGACTTGAAGAAGCCCTGTGCTGTAAATATGACATTAAAATAACTCAAGGCATTAAGATGCACCACATAACATGACCTATATAATGGCCTCTTCAACTTTCTCAGAACAAAACTTGAAGTGAAAGAGAGACCATTACTTTGTGGGTTATGGCGGTCTTATATAGCGCCTTTCACCACTGTTTGGGAAAAGTAGAGACATCATCATATAAATGACACACCAAGCTGATCGCAACTGCCACAAATGTTTCACATCCCAAAAAGCTGTTTTATTTCTTATTTTTATATTAAGTGGTTATTATTTTCGTTATGCACGAGTCCTGATGAATTCTGTCGCTGTGTTCATAGGTACTGGAGTTTCTTCTAGTTAAGGTAATTACATAGTTGTGAGCACAGGGCTCTTTTGTTCTATTTCCTCATGAATGATAACAATTAACAGAATAGAAAAAACAC